TGTGTATGTATATATGAACATATGTATATATTTATTTATTTAATTTTTATTTTTTATTTTATTTAATTAATTAATTTATTTATTTTTGCAAAGATCTGTATTTAGGGTTACTATATCAAAATGTTGCTAACATTTTGTTTATTATGACCCGCTACCAAAAAATGAAAGGGCAGTTATATTTTTGCTACAGATATTGAGCTAAGGTTTGAAATGGGAGTAGCTAGAAGACACCCCCAACACAGACTTTGAATGCAACATTTTTACTTAAAACTTTGACATTACGGCACCATCGTGGCTCAGTTGATAGAGCTGTTGCCTCTCAGCATTAAGGTTGCCTCTCAGCAATAAGGTTGCTGGACTGAATCCTGGCCGGGAACCTCTCTGGGTGGAGTTTGCATGTTCTCTCCGTGCATGCGTGAGTTTTCTCCGAGTACTCCGGTTTCCTCCCACAGACCAAAAACATGCATGTTACGCTGATTGGTAACTCTAAAGTGTCCCTAGGTGTGAGTGAGAGAGTGAAACGTTGTTTGTCTCATTTGTCTCTATGTGTCCCTGTGATGGACTTGCGATCTGTCCAGGGTGTCCCCCACCTCTCGCACAGTGACTGCTGGATATGGGCACAGTGACCACCATGATCCGAAAATGACAAAGTGGGTGAGGATGGATGGACTTTGACATTAATTGTTACAATCAATCTTTTGGCAAAATATTCCTTCAATTATTGAACAGATCTGATTTTTTATGTAAAAAAACAAAAAATCCAATTCAAGTGAACAGCCACACCTAATTGACTTGACCATCCCAAGAATGGCTACTTGGTCAAAGGTTGTTATTCTACTAGCTGAGAGTCATTCTCAACACATACTTTAAGTGCTACACTTGAGACTTTTCATGAACTGACCGTGGTGTCCCTCCTCCTCCTCGTCGAGCTCTCCTCAGAAACAGTTCCACACTTCGATCAGCTTGTAATGCTTGTCAACACTACAGTCAGTAATTTGATTCCCGGCTCCCTGAAGTACTTTGATTTCTGAACCTTTGCATACTGTAAATAGATTTTCATATCAGCCTTCGGTAGCATCAGCTAAGAGATGTTTTCTAGACTGCTAGGACTGCTTCTTGAGTTGTAAAGAAAGGAGCAGAACTAACCGTGTGTTTGGACTCTTCACTGATGGAGCTTCAGAAGCTGCTCAATGTATCCAGAGACCAATAAAAGGGGTAAAAACATTTTTTACAAAAGTGACATTTTCATGAAAGGTTTGAAAATGAACAATGTTTTGCATTATCTTGACACAGCAGTTTTGCTACTTGATCAGGAGAAACATAGATGGATAGTGACTAAACTCTCAGAAAGTAATCCCTGAATCTACTCGTTAACTTTTGGATCTAACCCAATTCAAGACGGTCGCCACAGAAAATTGGCCTTACCAAACAAAAAATGGCTTTAACTCAGTTTTACAGGTACTGAGCTAAACTTTGGTGTGGTAGTAGCTGAGATTCATCCCCAAAATATAAATAGTCCAAGATTTCCATTTAAAATGTTGGCATAAAAAGCAGTGGGGATGTGCATTCCTTCAAGGAATGTTAGTTTCATTCGTTTAATGGAATTTGTTGATCACCATCAAAGAAGTGTTAGTATAATAAATTTATTGGTATTGTTACTTTGAATATGTAAAAACAGCTCATATTTAAAACCTTGCATTCCTTGAAGAAATGCATATTGCCTGTCACTTTTCATGCCAAAGTTTTAGACCAAGATTATCTGGTGATGAAAAGGGACACAGGTTTGCCTTTTTTTATTTTTTATTTTTTTATCAGACCTTAAAGTATTATACGTGATCTGTCAGAACTCAGAATATGTGTTAAGGATGACTCTCAGCTACTACCAATTAAGACATTGAGACAATATCAGTAAACTGACCAAGTCATAGGCCTTTTTTGTGTGAGCTAAGGTTGATTAGCTGTGGCAGCCATCTTGAATTTGTTAGTTATAGCACATTTCCTAAGTACTGCTTTTTCTTGAGCTACCGACTGGGGGCTGAGATGGGGCAGAGATAGGGCAGCCGGCTGGGGACCAGAAAGTTACATCTCAACTCCGAGCCATTTCCACATGTCGTAGTGTCTCTGAGCAAGAGACCTAATCCCCAACTGCTCCCTGGGCTCTTACATAGCTGCACACTGCTCCACCTGAGTGTACCTCACATGTGATGAGTTAAATGCAGAAAACTAATTTCACCATTGTATGGGAATATACAATGGTGACAACCCCCCCCCCCCCCCCCGGATGAAAAATAATTCAAATAAAAATTGTTTTTAATGTAACATGTTATAAAACCAAGAGGCTTGAAAGATGTGTAAAGTGTTCAAAGCACACTTGTATCGGCTCCAAACTGCCTTTAAAACCCTCTCCTGTACAACACTGGACTGGGCGGAGTAGAGGGGAAAAAGCAGCAAGCAGGAGCAGAGATGATCTGTGGTGGTGGTGGTGGTGGTGGTGGTGGTGGTGGGGGGGGGTTCAAAGAGCCCGGCTCTGGAGAGATGTGTGGGGGCGTCTCCTCAGCAGAGAGCAGCAGCACGTGTCCTTTTTGTTGTGTCACCACAGAGCAGATGGTCCGCCTGCAGTAATGTCTTGATGTGACACTCACTAGTTCATTCAGTCATCATTAATCCCTTCACACATCTGAAATATGCTGGATCTTTCAATTCTTTTAACCCGAGCTCAAAATGTGTTTGCTCGAGGGTAAAAAAAAAAAAAAAAAAAAGGTCCAGGACCTCTGTCGAGCGAGTGCATATAAGCATACACTGTGCTCTATTATTTTCCTATATTAATAATAGATATATATCAATAATGTAACCTGAATGGTACGCTGTTTTGCCCTTAGCTGGCCAGACACTCTTATCAATAGATACATTCAGAAAGAAAAACGCACATTTGGTCAAAATTCCCTTTAAATTTTTCAAATTATTGGTTGTTACAAATCTGAATAAGTTGCACATAAATGTATTATTTCAAGGATGATTTCAGCTGATTTATATAAACTTGATATCTTGGAATACTGTGACATGTATGAATTTATCCAGTTCTAAACCACAAACTAAGATGACACATTTTCAATTAAAAGAGAGGCATTCCTTAAAGGAATGTATATCATCCACCGCCTGTCATGTCAGAGTTTTACGTTCAGATCATCTTATGATGAGAGGAATTGGAGTCACAGCTGTTTGGCTCCAAACTTACAATACAAGATTTTTCAAGAGATATTCGCACTCAGAACATGAATTAAGGTCTTATCTATCAGCAACATTTACCTCAGTGTCTGTAAAAGCCACTGAGTTAGAGCCATTTTGAGTTGGCTAAGGTCAGTTAGCTGTGGCAGACATCTTGAATCAGGTTGATTGACTAAACAGCTGAGAGTTTCATTAACAATCTAAATGATCCACCTTTTGCCTTCAGCAACGGGTGATAACAACAGAAATGTTGAACAGCTAAGATGTTCTTTAAAATAAATACGCCACACTTGTGCGTGCAGAAAAAGAGAAGCAAGCACGGTTTTTATGTTATCTTTGTTTTTTTTATTACTCGTCAGAATTCTCAATCAAATTAGCAAATAAATAAATAAATAAATAAATGTTTTCATCTATAGTTTGTTTTATATGATTTAGGGAAACAAAGTACAATTTAGACCCGACTCAACATCATTAGAAGTTGTGTTCATATGATCCTTCTTGTAAAAATATTGGTTCCTGTCATGTTATTTGTAACAGTAATGATGCTAACTAATCAAAAACTGAAGGTCAAATCCATCTGTCACTTCAGCCATTTTCTGCTGCTGAGTGATGGCCTGAGCAGAGATTCTCTCTTTCAGCTCCCCCACTCTGAACATTTCTGATATTTATCTCTTCGGTGAGCTCTGGGTCTGCCCCGAGGCCTCCTCCATGAACTGCCACCGTATGTGTTGGAGGGCTTTTAGTGCGAGGAGCTGTGGGATATTTCAAGCCTACAGTTCCACCTCTCGTATGGTTTTACTTGATAAACTGGTTCTGGGAGGAGGGGTAACTAACACAATTCAATACATCTTTTGATGATGGCAAGATCAGCGAACCCAATGCTAGATGTTTTTAAAAGGTCAGTCTGAAGTGGAAATGTTGGCAGTGTCGGATGGCTTCGTCTCAAAGTGACAGCGTCACCTTGTAGTTCAGGTGTCACCACCTGCAGATTATCATCATCATCATAAATTTAATCTGTGTCACATCCATCCTTCAGTGGCACGCCTTTATTCTGAATACGATCAACACAGACTGGATTTTTCCCCAGATGGCCCACAGTTCACAGAATCACCCTGTTCATTGCAGCGTGTTCCCATCTGCGTGTCGTGGCCCAGTAAAGCATCTGGTCAGCCCACAAACTGAGGAATGTCTTGAGGTTCACTTTAGGAATGTGTTCATAGGAAGCTGTCATGCAGAATGCCAAATGCACCCACACTCCCTCCCCTCGTGGCTTGTTGGCATCTTCTATCTGACATCTTTGCTCGTGTCTGATGACCTCAAACCAACAGCACTTGGCGAGATGCTGTAAATATCTTGTCCCTTTTATAAGATGCTGATGGATCTCATGAGCTCCTATACTAGGTGCTTGGGTTAAAAATATGTTTATTGAAAAATAACAGGCAAACAGACAAACAAAAAATAATTTTTAAAAGTCAAGTATTAGATTGAGAAAAAAAAACTGTGTTACCTGTCTCTCCCAAACATTTGTTTCTTATGTATGAAACTTTTCAACAAGAGAAACTGCATTTTCTGTTAAATCTGTAGTGTGGACGCTGAGTGCTGAATGACTGCTGAAATTTACTGGACAAGCTAAAATTGGGGTTTTTAAGCTAAAATGAGCAAAGTAGCAAAAAACCCAATGTGTTAGCTTGCAAGCTAAGAACCAAAAGTAGCATGTTTAGCTGAAAGCAGAAAAAAAAAAAAAAAAAATAAATATATGTATATATATATATATATATATATATATATATA